GAGGTCGGGCTTTGAGGGCAGCGAGAAGACTGAACTGCTTCCAAAACCGCACGACATTTCATCATCTCATCCTACATAATTTAGTTCCACACCACATAAAATTATCAATGAAATATAACCATCCAAGTAAAAATTCACGACCAACCATGATATCTAATTTACCTTATGGGGGTGGTTGAAGAGCCTCATAAAATATGAAAGAGAGGGTTGAGAAGTGATTGGAGGAAGCAAGTCTAAAGAGCACCAAATTGTGGAGAGGGCAATTAGGCTTGGCTTGAAAGGCATGAGCCTATGATCCAACACAGCGCCAACAAGCAGCTCTGTGATGTTCGCCATCAATAGTGAAGACTCCAAATTGAGACCCAAAAGGTGAATGTAAGAATAAGGCGTTGGGCAACAGAGATGCCAATCCAATGCCTTTAGCAATGTCACCTCCATTCTTTCTATGGAGCTTTCATCGAACACATGATCCATATAATCCTCCATCTTCAATAATATTCCACATCCAAACCAATTCAATATCAAATTTTTTTTAAATTTAAACATATTTTTATTAATTTAGCCCCTTAAGAAAAGTTACCTGAATTTGAGTCAAAGTTGGAGGATAGGTCTCATGGAACTTGCAGGCTACGGATAAGCATGCAACGCCCAATAATTCAACCATCCAATCCTTCCATTCCTGCCATTCCAATTGAGTTTATAAGTAAAGAATATTATCTCCTTTGATATAATGAGATGGGTGATTTTTAATATGATATCAAAGTCATATTCTTAACTTAGTTATGTCAATAGAATCTCCGAAATGTTGAACAAAATGTGCACTGTGTTCGAGGGCTTAAGAAAAGGAGTCGATACGAATTCAAAGGAAATCATGCATTTATGAATAAGGAATACTATCTTCATTCGTCAGAGCCTTTGGAAAAACTAAACAGAAAATTATGAACATTTATGTTCCAAGTGGACAATATCGTACCATTATGGTAATTTTGAACATGAATAAGATTGAATAAGATAGAACGGTTGAAAAAAGCAATACCCAGATGAATTATCCAAACCCATCACAACACAAATGGGAAGAGATGTGCTTACTTTGGTTCTGTTCTTAGATATGAAGCGATCCAGGTAATTTGCAGCCAGAAAAACAGTTCCATGGGAGAGATTCCATCGACTTCTACACTGGATCATAAAACTAAAACTCGTTAGAATTGAAAATGATGAAAAGAAAGAACTGAAAACGATAAAAAAAAATTGACCTTGAGAAGCCATTGAATACATCTGAGCCTCACAAAAACAAGATCCTGAGTTTCAAGAAACTCCTTATAATGAGGTTCAGGCATGTAACTCATCTCCTTAGCCATGCAAACCGACACAGCCGCCTGCTCTTCATCTTCATCTTCCTTGGCACCTACACACACCAAACTCAGCCTCTTCCCATGAGTCTCAGCTGAAGTTGAAAGCCAATCCTCATCGCAGAGCAAACCTTCCATTGGTAGAAACAGAGAACACTGCAAGTTGCTCTGAGACAATGCAAATGGGGAATTTATAAACAAAGCTGTAAGGATTGAGAGAGAGGAATTAAGGAGGAGGAAGAAGGCATCTCCCACATGAAATGGGTTAATGAGAAGAGAAGGGTATGCGTAAGTTTTGGGATAATTGTTTTTGCTATCAATTACGTGAGAGCACGAGGGGTATGCTGGTTGGCGTTGGGCCCTTACAAAGCCCTAAAATTGAAGTAATTAAGCTCTGAAAAACAGCACTTGTGGCTCAGAAATCAAAGCTGTGTTCAAGTACTCAATTGACAGCTCCACCTCAAATCAATCACTTCTTTCCGAATTGCTCATCTTCTGCTTCAATCATTTCAAAATGCATTAGAATCAATAAAGCCCTACTTTTCAAAATGTTTTGATTCAATTATGGATTTTGATTTCAATCTCAATTAGATCCTAGATTGATATATAAAGTATATATTTGATAAAAATTCGACAGAAAGAGATATATTTGTTATATTATATTTAAATCTTTAAAAGTTATATTTAGTAAATTGAAACTATATATATATTTGGTTCGTGTGATATTAAAACTTACTTTTTTTTCTTTAGTTGTATTTTGTTTATTGTATATCCCTGAAGTCATCAATAATAAAACATTTAGCCAATATTTCTCTTTGAATTCTCTCTCGCTTTGTGCTCATTTTTATCTGTTCATCTTTATCGAATGTGTGCGCTGTTGAGCGATCTTAACAATAGATATCATAGCTAACAACTGGTATCGATCCTAACATGTCTGTCCCAGTCCCAGCGCATTGCTGACAAATATTAGCTTTCTCCTATTAGCTTCACTTCAAAATTTTAAAATGCTTCTAATGGGGTAGGTTTCAATAAAAACATTCCTCTCTTCCGACTCTGTCCTTGTATCCTATTTCAAATCTTTTCTTCACAAAATTTTTCATTTATTTTTTTTTTTTTTGCAGGATCGAGGTAGGAATTCTTTGCGGAGAGGGGATCATGTTCCTACCAAAATTTTCTCCATTTTTTATATATTCAAAAATATTTGTTAAAAAAATAATGGATAATTTATATTTTCCATATAGTTTCTATTAAAAAAAATGTAAAACACATCCCGATAAATCTAATAATATTTAATCTCAAATTTCAAAATATAGTATTTCATGATTAATATATATGTATATATATAATATATATATATAAATAAATAATAATACTAATAAATTAACTGTGTCTGAGTTATGTATATAAAAGAGATATGGCGGGATGAGCATTTAGGTGGGGCAGGATGAGGATGGGAATGGAGAATATAATGTCGTTTCCAATCTTATTTAGTTAACACGAAGAAATCTCTCATCCCTCCCTCTTTCATTTGCGTTAATGATTAAATTGATATCTCGACGCGAAACAGCGGGCACCCAGATGCTCGAGGGAAGTTATTTTGTTCATCTGTTGGAATATCTCAACTACCAAAGGGTATTGGTAATGGTAATGGTAAAAATGTAATTGAAGAGAGGGTCAAGTTGAAGAATGAACAGTGTAAGTTATGCATGAGAGCCATTATTTGAGAGTAAGTGCAGTGTGAGGCGGCAGTTATCCATAAATGGGCCATTATTGTTCCCACACATCCAATCTTCATATGGTAAAGATCACTTCAATCCACATATGCTTATAGAAAGGATTGATACGGCTATTTGGGTCAATATCGGGTAGCCTTGGACTCTTACATATGGTATCAAAGCTAGATATTGAGCGGTGTGCTAGTAAGGACACTAGGTCCTTAAGGGGGTGAATTGTGAGATCTCATGTCGGTTGAAAACGAGAACATAACATTTCTTGTAAATGTGTAGAAACCTCTCCCCAATAGACGCATTTTAAAACTATCAGACTGACGGCGATACGTAACGTGCTAAACCAAACAATATGAGCTAGCGGTGGGCTTGGACTATTGCAAATAGTATTAGAGTCAGTCACTAGACAGTGCGAGGCACTGGTTGGAGTAGGACTAGACCCTCTTCATAGTAGATGCGTTTTAGAACTGTGAGATTGACGACAATACGTAACGGACCAAAGCGGACAATACCTACTAGCGGTAGACTTGGGTTGTTACAAATGGTAATAGAACTAGACACCGAATGGGGTGGATTGTGAGATTCCACATCAATTAGAGAATGAAATGAAATATTCCTTACAAGGGTATGACCTCTCACTAGTATATATATTTTAAAATCGTGAGACTAATAATGATGAGTAACAAGCTAAAACAAACAATTTCAAATAGCAATGAACTTGAATCATTACAAAAACTTGCATCAATTCTTGAAAAGCGGTTTAAGAGGCGAAAACAGTGACCCGAGTGGATGTGGCCAACTTCTTTTATGTAATGCATTGAAGGCTAAGATGAAAATCACCTAAATTGCTCAAAGCAAGCATCATCATGAAAGTTGTGAACATCCCCATAACCATTGAAAGTGGGCTCATATGAATTTCAGTGGCACACGAAAGCTCAGGTACAACGACAATATAATGGAGACCATTATTATTGATTAGAAAGTTTATTATATCGATATATCAATTCAAATATAGTTCAATAGATAAGACATCAATTATCATTTTAAGTATAAAAATTTTTAATCTTACACTCCATAATCATAGAACAAAATAGAGAACGAAATTTTCCTCGGACCACCGACCACCACTCGCCATCATTCATTAGAATTTTAGGGACAAAAAATGAGTAATTTTCACACTTCAAATGGTCCCTTTGTGTTTGAGGTGTTCACTTCATGGAATCATGTAACCCTTGTGCGACTAAATTTGGTGAAACGTCACTTCATTTCTCACTTCAAATTTAATTTCTTTCTTATAAAATAAGTGGACATAATTCTTTTACCTTTATTGCATTTACATTTGTTTTTCCCACATTTTAGAAACATTTTTTTTTTTTTTTGTATTTATTTTCACTAAAAGAGTTGAAAATGGAATTTTGAAATAATAAGAGCATAAGTGAATTCATATTAAGGGTATAGTTGAAATATAAAATTTGAGAAGTTTAGATGTCTCCCGTTTCCACCATCTTCTTTGCACATTTTACACGCTAAAATTTTATCAAAATCAATCTTCGGTCTTCCAAAACTAAAATTACCAAGACACTCATCAATGGTCGGTTGAAAAGGAATTAGCTCGAGTAGTTAGATTTACAGGGCTCATGCAAATACATAAACTCTTTTACGGAATAGATTAGGTGATAAAAAAAGGCACCTTTTCAATTAATAGTCCATCGAAGTAGCCTGAGTCCTTTAACTTTCAATAATTTGATACGTGGTTGTCGTACAAAGGAAAGAAAGAAAGTTGGAGGGAAGTCCACGTTAGTGGCGTATGTAATAGTGAGTTGCCATATATCTAAAAGAGACTGAAAAGACTCGTCTGAAATAAAATGAAAAATCTCCATTTAAACGGAAAATGCATTACAACTAAGAACGGACTTGGCTCACTTAAGATTCTACTCATGAATTTTGTTGGAGGTGATCATTGTCCTTTTTGATCGACCAATAAATCACACTTCCTTTCCCTACCATCAAACCTTAATTTCTAGATCATGGCATCCTCTGTTTTGTTCATCACAATTTTCTCTGCTCTAATTTTTCTGTCCACCCAAACGCTGTCTCAGCACACCCAACTGTTCTATCCTGGATTCAATGCATCCACCAACTTGACTTTGAAGCAATATGCAGGAATCGAGAACAATGGAGTTTTGAGACTCACCAATTATTCCCCTGATATCATCGGCCAGGCCTTTTACGCCACTCCAATTCAGTTCAAAAACTCCTCCACCGCCGCACACGGTGGTAGTAGCAACGGCAAAGTTTTTTCTTTCTCCACCTGTTTTGCCTTCTGCATCATCCCTGAGGACGATAACTATGTCGGCCATGGCTTCACTTTCGCCATCGTACCTTCTAAAAATCTTAGTGCTCTTTCACAGACGTATCTCGGCCTCTTCAACAGAAAACCCTCAACCCATATCTTTGCGGTTGAATTCGATACCATCCAGACTGTTGAGGTTAAAGACATCGACAATAATCATGTGGGTATCGATTTAAATAGCTTGATTTCCAATGTCTCTAAACATGCTGCTTATTTTGATGATTCTGGTCAGCTTTATAATCTGACTCTCAAAAGTGGGAAGCCTGTTAAAGCTTGGATTGATTATGATTCTCGTGAATTCACTCTCAATGTTACGATTTCCCCTTTTTATTCAAAACCCAGAAAGCCACTTCTGTCGTACAGAGTGGATCTTTCGTCAATTTTTAATGAAAATATGTACATTGGATTTACTGCTTCAACGGGTATACTGGCTCATAGCTCGCATTATATTTTGGGGTGGAGTTTCGCCATTAATGGCAAAGCTCGAGATCTTGAGCTCTCTTCGCTTCCATTACCCAAACAGAGGAAAACAGGGGCGAAAATCAGTCTCTCTGTTTATTTGTCTGTAACAGCGGCGAGTTTTTTTGCGATCTCTGTTTTCGCTTTTGGTATTCATTTCTTAAGGAAGCATAAGAAATCTAATGAAATCGAGCTGTGGGAGCTTCAAATGGGACCCCATCGTTATTCCTACAGAGAACTCAAAAAGGGTACTAGAAATTTCAGCGAGAAGGAGATTCTTGGGTTTGGTGGATCTGGGAAAGTATACAGAGGAACCCTTCCGATTTCGAAAACAGAAATCGCGGTGAAGCGAATTTTTCATAATTCGAAACAGGGTCTCCGGGAATTTGTGACGGAAATCGCTACAATCGGAAGGCTCCGTCACCGGAATCTGGTTCAGTTGCTCGGGTGGTGTCGGCGGGGGCAGGATCTGCTTATTGTTTACGAATATATGGCGAATGGGAGCTTGGATAACTATCTATTCGACGATCCGAAAACAATTCTGAATTGGGAACAGAGATCCAAAGTCATTAAAGGGGTTGCCTCTGCTCTGCTTTATCTTCACGAAGGGTACAAACAGGTGGTGATACACAGAGACGTGAAGGCGAGCAATGTGTTGTTAGACGGCGAATTGAACGGGAGATTGGGGGATTTCGGGCTTGCGAAGGTGTACGATCATGGGTCTGTTCCGGTTACGACTCGAGTCGTCGGAACTTTGGGTTATTTGGCACCGGAGCTGCCAAGAACAGGGAAATCAACGACGAGCTCCGACGTATACGCGTTTGGGGCTCTGATGTTGGAAGTAGTTTGTGGGCGGCGGCCAGTGGAGGTGAAGGCGTTGCCAGAGGAGATGACGTTAGTGGATTGGGTTTGGGACAAATACAGAGAAGGGCGGCTTTTGGCCGTCGTCGATCCGAAGCTCCGGGGAGACTACGACGAGGTTGAGGCGGCAATGGTATTAAAATTGGGGGTTATGTGTTCGAATAATGAACCGAAGCAACGGCCGAGTATGAGGCAGATTGTGCAGTGTTTGAACGGAGAAATTGGCGTCGCCGACGAGTGGAAGGCGCCCGACGGGGGGAGCAACGGTGGGGCGGTGGGGGATTTTGTCGTGTCTTTTACGTCTTTATCCATTACCTGATAAAGCTCGCGTTAATTATTATAAGCATAATTATGCTAATTTTCTCTTCTCTTCCCATCTTTATAATTTTTTTTTTTGAATAATTATAAATAGATTTGTGGATGAATTTTGAATTTTTAATATATTTTAATCTATCTCAACAATTATAAATATAAAGAAAACTTTTTAAAATTTTTATTTTTTGGTGGATAATTATAGATTGGTTTGAGCGTGTATCTCAACCTAAAATTTTTTAATTTTTTTTAACAACCCAACTCGAAACAGAGGGTCGAGTTAGGATTGTGAAAATTTTAGGGTTGGATTGGGTTAGGTTACTAATCCAACCAACCTAAACTTTTGAGTTGTGTAAAAAAAAATCACTCAATCGAGACCATGTACACCCTACCATTTTCGGCATTTATTAAACTCAAATTTCTAATGGATATTAAACTTCTAAATGTATTTTGTAATTCATAAGGTAGAAATGATTTAAAAATAAATACATTTATATCGTTTATAAGGAGATTTGTTCTTTGATATATATATATATATGTTTTTCAATTATATGATTTTTATTTATAAATTTTACCACATCAATGTGTGCTCAAATTTTGAATGAGTCTGTTGCACTAGTATTACCTCAACATTAACATTAAATTAGATCAGTAAATATTTCCTCTAATTTAAAGTGTTCATCCATGCTCAACTGATGATACAAGTAAAATATTTAAAATTAAATTTTCATTGAATTAATTAATGTTTATCAACAACTAAAATATTGATAGAGGATCATAAAATGTTGATAAAAATAGCGTCATCGATAGCATATAGTCAGTTTTGTCTGTACCAAGGTGTGAAGTAAGTATAACATATGGAGTATATGTGTATACATATGATAAGAAGAAAGGTATATATACAACCAAACTAAAACTAAACTACCCAATTCAACGTCTCCTTTTATTGTTGATTAGAATTCCGGTGATCTTGCGTCTGCCGATTCTCAAACTTATATATGCAACTCAACCCCACCAAAATCTCTACAATGGCGGCGTCCGTCTTCTCCAAGTCAGAATAATGCAGCGTTTGCATCAGCAGCGTTGTCGGACTGGTGTCGAACCTTTGTTTTTCCATGTTCCTCTCCGACTGCCACCGCATTGTGTCGTGAGCCAACGGACCCAACCACCCCATCATGTCCTCCACCGCCTCCTTCCACCCCGCCGCAAGCGACTGCGTATCCCTCTCGCTCCCCATTTTCTCCTCTCCTCCTTTATTCATCCAATTGTTCCTTCTCAATTTAGCCCTCAAATTTTGCTTTATCCTTGCTGGCAACATCTCGTAAAACTTCCCACGCGCTTCTTCCCCTATCGTCGTCGGAGAGTGCAGGCAACGCTCCGCAAAGAGTATCACGTTCGCGTAGTTCAACGAAAGCCCTGTTCCCCCCACCGTCGTTGGAGGCGCTGATGTGTATACTCTGTTGTTTTCCAACTTCGAGGAATTGAGTTCCCCGGACCCAAATCCGGCCACGTCGTTTACTCTAATCACACTCGGAAATCGGACCAATTCCTTTTTCCCCCTTTTCGGAATCGGCCCAGATTGTGTTTCGAACTTATATTCGTTGTCGCCGCTGCCGGACTTCCGATGTCCGCCATAGAAATTCCACCTCCAGAATCTGTCTCTGAAGATTCCAGTTGGTGGGTTGTGATACGAAGAACAATCCTGCTCCGGAACATACGGGCTGAAGACGGTGGAAATTCTCGCGTATATGACGCAGATGAGTCGCGTCATCATTCCGACAGCGTAATCGAAACTCTGATTCCATAACGAAATTTCTTTGGCATGCTTCACGTCTTTCCTCTGGGTAGCCAGTTTTCTTTTCAACATTTCGAAATTCACAGGTGGGTATTGATTTGGACTCGACGTTCTCCAATTCTGCAGCTTCTTCTCCGACGCTTCCATTTCGAACAGAGCTTCCATGGAAGAATGAAGCTCCGCCGTGGAGAACACCAGCTTCTCCATTCTTCCGATAAGTTTGGCAACGTTCTTGAAACCCGAATTGGATTTGACTGAATTGAATATTCCATCTTTCATATTGGAGAAAACGAGGTCGAATCGGGCGAGGCCCAAATCGGCGCACTTTTTGCTGAGTCGAGAAACAGAGGAGGCAGCATTGTTCAATTCCTCGAGCCGCTCGGAACAAGCGAGATTGAGAAGAAACTCCTTGTCTTTGGAATTCAAATACGCGACACCTTGGGAGCGGACGACGACGTTCCGGAGCTTGAAAATCTCTTCGTCGGAGAGAGATCGGTAGAGAGAAATGAGGGCAGCCATGGTTTTAGCAGTGTCGAAGGAGAGGATCCCGAGGGTAGGAGGAGGGGATTTTTCATGGAAGAAGAATTGAAGGGTGTGATGGGTAGTTCCTTTAATGGTGCCTGAAAGCCACGGCATGGTGGCAACAACCATGGCCTGTGAGAAGAAACTGTAAAAATGGGGGCTGGGCAATGGAATTTAGGATTAATGGAGGAAGAAGAAGAAGAAGAAGAAGAAGAAGAAGAAGAAGAAGAAGGGAACGGAAATGGGGTGCCGATACTCGGGAGAAAGCCGGACATTTGGGTGGTGGCTCATGAAGACGAGGTCGGAGAGTTGGGATTTGCGAGGCCGACAGAGCGGCGTTCGAATTCCGAACAGAAAAAGGAACAAACTTTGGGTCGCTCTAAAGATCAAAATATGAAAAACACGACCAAATCAAGAGCTGTAACTAAATATTGAATTTAAATTGTTCGGGGGGAAGCTCTGGATGATCGGAATTCAATTGCTTGGTCAAACTTCAACCCAATTTCTTGGCTTAAATTATGGTTTTGGAGATCATATATTATTGTTGGATGAATGTTGTTAGTTGGAAACTACCAGTTTCTGATCTTTTCAAATTCAAAGCTTTGTGGTCGGTCAAGGTCAACTCCGACCAAACACTTTCGATAAAAAGTCGCCACTTTTTTCGTTGTCTAACCAACTCAGACGAATGAAGCCCTGAAAACAGAAAGCCCATTTTGGCTGAAGGCCAGCTTCCTATTTGTAACCCATTTTTTAACAGAATAATAATAATAATAATTATTATTATTATTATTAAGAATATTTCCACTTGACCTAATCTAAACATATTAAGCCATTATTTAAATATTTATTAAGGCCTCATTTACTTACTTGGAATATAATTTAATAAAAATGGAAAATTTTATTCGTATATTATTTTGAGGCTTCGTTTATTTACTATTAGATAATTTTCAAAATTACATTTGTAGGGTTTCATTTAACTTTTTATTTACTTTTAGGTTATAGGAAAAAAATAAATAAATAAATAAATAAATAGATGTGATGTCCCATGTGCGTGGGTCTGAACTGTTCCTTCTTCATTACCCCTTTCTCTTTCATTTTCTCTCTCTTCTCTCTCACATGCATCGTACCAAACAAAATCCCCTCCCCCACCCATCAAAACATTCTTCAATTATTAGCGGCCTCTTTCATTATTCTTGTTTATAGACGTAATAGTTCAAGCTCATTGCTATCAGATGAATTAAGTCTGTTACATTGGTGTTTTTAAGGAAACATATAGGGGTACTACATGTTTTTCTTTTGTTCTACAAATAAAATTGAGTTTAATGCTCTCATACACATCCTTATCTTATGGGAAGGTACATTCATGTATATTCTTGGTTTTGCATTTCCATACATAGAAAGCTATTTGTTGAAGCATAATTGAATGAGTTGTTTGTTTGGTTTTGGGTTGAGGAAGGACCAAAAAATGGCATAAAAGTCTGGCATTACAACAAGAAGTGATGTTAGGGTTCCGTAAGGGAATTGGAATTTATCCATTTTCATGAAACTTGTGAGGGTTTTGCAGAATTTGCAAATGGGAGATTTTATTGCACAAAATAGAGACAGAAGAAGAAACAAGAAAGTGACTGAGATGGCGACTATAACTCGTACTCTAATATTTGCAATACTTAATTGTTGATGCCATGGAGTTGTTGCCAAAGCTTTGGACTCATGTACTGACACTAATAAAGGGATCTCTGATGATGCGTGGAGTATTATAATTAAACCCTCACAAAAAGGGAATCAATGTTCTCAACCATCCGACTTTATCTCGGTTAGGTTTAGTTTCGTTTTCTTGTATCAAGAGTTTGATGAAACATAATAGCCTACAACAGGCAGATATCGTATTATTTGGACTTTCGTCAGTAGAATTGTACTCTTTTGACTTTCCTTTAAACGCGTCTATTAATAGGAGCTTCTCACTCAGTAATGTGGCATACCCAAGCCCGTTTGGACTTTCTTTGACTTTAGTCAGTATATATTGTCCTCTTCAGACTTTTCTTTTTTCTTTTTAGACTTTCCCTCAATATTTTAAAATGCTTTTACTAATATGAGGTTACATATTGTCTTAACTTGACATACCATTTGTAACCGCCCAAGCCAACCGCAAGTAAATATTGTCTACTTTAACCGGTTACGTATCGTCGTCAGCCTCACAATTTTAAAATTTGTCTACTAGCACGAGGTTTTCACATCTTATAAAAAATGTTTCGTTTTCCTCTCCAACCCACGTGGGATCTCACATGAAATGTCATTGTCTTTATATGATATGATATTATTACGGGAGAGTCCTTCACATATTTTTATACACATTTTTTTAACCTAATGAAGATCGTAACAAGGTTATTACGAGACAGTCACAGCAAATCAAGTTCTCAACCAAGTAGAATTGAAGAATAAGAAAATAAAAAAAATGGGTAAAAAAGAAATGGAAATGCATAGAAATAATGGAACACAAACTTTTAAATATTCCACAATAATATTCTCACTTTGATCGATACGCACCTAATTTACAAATGTATGTATGTATGTATGTATATGGGTTTTTTATTGAAAGCACGAAATTTTCTAACTTTTTTCAATTCTTTTTCAATTTCCTTGTGTGAGCAATATTGTTAAAGCAACAAAGAACTGACATGATCAGAAGAAGAGCAAAAAAAAAAAAAAAAAAAAAAAAAAAAAAAAAAAAAAAAAAAAAAAA